AAACCACGCTCTGCTAAAGCAAATTTTTTTTTTTTTTTTTTAAATGAACAACACACTAACCTGTTCTAGAACAGGAATTGAGTAAGCTCCAGTTTTGCCAGTTCCATTTTTGGCACGTGCCAAAACGTCTTTGCCGGAAAGTGCAATGGGAATACTGGCTTCCTGAATGGGTGAGGGCTTTTCCCAGCCCTTCTCAAAAATTCCCATAAGGAGTTCGCGCTTCAGACAAAACTCTTCGAATTCGTTTCCACGAGTGTCTGTGACATCCTGCAATTAAAACCAAAAAGTTTAATTTTGTCACACAAAAACTTTTATGCCAATCTATCTTTGCAAACATTTTGTAATCGCTACTTACGCTTGTCTTGATACGCTTGTCCTTTGGTGGAATTTTTAGCTTGGCTTTCCAACCAACGTCATCCATCTTCTCAAGGTCTGACTTCAAACTCAGAGCAGAACTCAAAACGTGGTGGTTAGAATTCATATGGGATTCTGTTGACATCATTTTGAACCAGACACAGTGTATCTAGATATTATCTGAAGCAAAAATGAAACGAATCTCTTAACTTGTTATTGGAAACAATGTCAATAATGTAAAAACAACTAACAGCTATTCTAACTCCCAAAACAGAGTAAATGTGTTTTTCAAAGTTTTAACTACTATGTTGAATGCTTTAATACGAAACTAAACCTCAAAATTACAAGTACACTGAAAAATGATGTTACATTAGAAATCAAAAGACTCCAAACAAAGGAAAACAAGAACGCCCTTGAGGGTTTTGACCATCCGGCTTTGAGCATTCTTTTATTTACATTTTAAGGATAAACACGAATCTACCGAACTAGTTAGTAATGAGCCTGTATACCTTATAGATCAAGACCTTGCCTGATTTAATGAAGGATAAGAGAATTGTTTTCAAACGTACTTTTAAATTTAATTTGATTATGGAAAATTACCCGGTACAGAAGCCTTTTAAATTACTATACAAACGTAGTTGAGGATTTAAGAACACGTAAACGAGACAAGAAAACAAATGATGCAGAACAAAAGTATGAAATTGATGTGTTAAAACATAATCAAAAACATGAAACATGTACTTGTTGATACAAAGATTGGAAAGTGTTAAAATTTCAATAAAAGAAAAGAGTCAGATAGTGTACCAAGCGTTCCATATGTTTTAAAGCTAAGCAAAGGAGATAAGGGGAAAAAAATCCACGCAGAGCACGCATCAACAATAAATAACAAAAAAAAATGCTCGCTCGCCTTTTAAAACGTATAAATTTTACGGCATCAAGATAAACAAAGAATAACGTCGAAGCCGTACCAAACTCGATTGAGCAAGACGACGGCAAACATGCGACTTTTAAAACAAATATTCATGTACACCAAATAAGCGAACAAAAAGAAATGAGTTTTATTGACATGTAGTGCGCAATGCTCGAAGCTCTTTTTGCAGCTGTACATGCGCGAAAAGTCTAATCCATCGCGAAAGAGGTAAACCACGTAAGTGCCGCGCGTGTGATTTGCCAATTTATCTCTCTCGCTCGCTGTGTGTATACAAGCCAAGCGACGACCACATAATACAACAACTACGAAACCTAGCAAGCGTAGCACGAAGCCGTGTGTTTTTGCCTCTCACGATGATTCCGAAGAAAGGAAAAATATAAAGAAACTCCGACGAACCGGGATGTTGTGTATACCCTGCGCTGCTGCCATCGTTAACCATTAAAACCATTACGGTACTCCCCATTTAACTGAATTTCTCGATCGAGGATCAGAGATGAGAAAAAACGCTCGATTATAACGAATTCCAGCACTACGGATAGGGAACCTTTGAAACGAGCATTGACACTGAGAGGAGAGACCCCATGACACTCGCGCGCTCCATACAGTATATGGGTATTGGTGCGTGTGGCTCGAGAAATCCGAGAAAAAAATGCAAAAAAAAGAAATCGACGTCGGTCGTCCCCCTAGCTTTCGAATGAACGGAACGGCAAAACAGCAGATAGAAACTGATTACCCACTACAGTGAGTACTATAGTAGCGAGGCGTCCGAAATAACGGTCATCGCCGTCGTCGTGGTGCGAGCGAGTGCGAAAAATGTTCTTTCGCTCGTTGTCGGATGCAACAGAAAGAAACAGCATTACGTACGTTGTAATATGCACAATGCAGGGGAACGGTAGTAACGCGATGCACTTATTTTCTTTAATTTTTCTTTTCACCGTTCTCTCCCTTTCGCTACGTCGGCCCCTTCGACCGCCCCTCTTTAACGTGGTGTGTATCTATCTACAGGGTTATTTTATACGCATCCGTGTCCCACCAGTCAACCAGTGGTATTTAAACACCCCCAGGAGTCCCTTTGCTCCTTGGCCCGGCCATCACCAGAGGCGCAGAGAAGGGAAAAAATTTCGGAGCAGTGTTTCGATTCGTAGACAAGAGACAAGCCTCGCTCCTTTCGTTGGAAAAGAAACCTGATCCATCAGCACCGAACGAACACAATCATAACGCGCGTATACACACAGACACATCGCATATTACACGGGAGAGAAAGCAAGAATGACGAGGCAGACGGAGGGAGAGAAAACTAACCGCGTGATCCCTAAAGAGTATAACAGCACATCGGGGCAAATTATAACAATGGACAAACAAAGAATAAAATGAAAGGACGTACCTTAAACGCTGCTGCTAACCAGCACAATATATATGTGTGTATATATATCGGACGTAGGTTTAATGGTCTCCTTCGCTCTCGTCTACGAGGAGGAGAGGACACCACCAAATGGCTCGCTTAGCTCGCTGAATGTAGGTATGTGGGTAATCAACGAAGACTCTCGGAATGCACGAAGGCTCAATTGGTTTGCTCGTTCGCAGGTCGCCGAAAGACTGGCCGACGGACGGACGATAGACGCTGAAGAAACAAGAGGCCGCTTGCTCCGCGCACGCGATACGCCAAGATGGCCGTTCAACCAATGTCGAGCTTCACAAAGCTCTCTTCCCTTGGTTTGGTTTCGCGCTGCGTGTGTGTGTGTTGTGTCGTCCCAACTCCCCCCCCCCCCTCTCCGCTCCACTCCAGTATACAGCAACAGCGGGCGGCGGCGGCAGAGACGTGTCGCTCTTTCTCTCTTGAAATCTTAATAGACGGTCTCTCTCTCCGGCTTATGTTACCTTTTTCTCTTTCTATGACTAAGTCCAACTTGCTTTTGGATCGAGGAAAGATAAAAAAGAAATAATGCTGATAAAAAGTCGCCAAATCAATTGTACTCAACAACATTAATTACACTTAACGCTGCCGCGTTGACTTCGTTTTTACACACGCAAAGAGGGGAAAGAGGCATTTTGGAGCAGTAAACGAAACAACGTACATGCATGCACACATACGTCCCACGGCGTCGCCTAGTCTGGTTTTTATTTTGAAGTCTGACAACTTATCGCGTTTACCCTTTTAAAAGATTTTCTGTCACACGCACACACGTACAACCTGGCTTAGGTTAACTGTTTTTGATAAAATGAAAAAATAATCTCCGGCATAAGCCCGCCCACAAATTCAACGAATCGAATATAAACACATATACACACCTACTCGGCGGATTTTGAAAAATACAAACCCGCTGGGATTACACTTACCACTTAAGTATTCCTTGGAGTAGTACCTAATACAGAAATCACGTAGAAACGCACTGCGTCGAATTAATTTTTATATTTGGTAAATCGTCATTAGCGGTCGGCGACTCAGTTCCTTCAACAGTCAGAGCACAACATGGCACAACAGCCACTGCTCTGGGCACTAATATACTTATAATATTATTAATATTTTACAAAGACGATTGAAACAATACTTAATATATGACCAAGTATTCGATTGTTTTTCTCTCGAGAGACACGCTTAGTGTATATGATAGCACGATGTATGTATCCCAAGTATCGCTGTATAAAACAGACTATTTTGAGTAATCTTAAACACTCGGCGAGAAATGATAATACGTAAATATCAAATCGTGAAATGTATAATCCGCTTTGCTTGCACATATATACAAGTCGTCGTAGTTACACAAACTCCGCAAATGGTAACTTTCTGCATATATATAGGAGTCACGGGACTAACGAGACCGTCACTGAGCGTCGGCTGCTAAGAAGCTGATGATTGATACGAAATTACGAATTGATAAATTGACCATTTATGCAAACGTTGAAAACGGATCATAGTTTGCTATGTCAGAATTTTTTTGCATAAATAAAAACTTTTAAATTCACGTCTAGACTCATATTTACAAATTCATGCACATGCGTGATATTTTAAGAAATTGGCGCGAACGTTTAAAATGTACAAATAAAATACTTTAGCCTATAATACACAAATTATGACATTTTTATTGATTATTCGACAAATTATGTAAACATTTTTTGACAAACGATTTCATTCATTATTCTGAAATTAAATTCAATGCAAAATAATGTACAATAATGATGATTGTTTTTATCATAAAAATAACATTTTAAGCACAGTAAAACAAAACGTTAGACTATACAATCGTTCGTGATTTTTTCAGTTAGAAAAAAAAAATGTAATCTCTAGCTAGCTTCATAGCAAGAACAGTGCAAGATAGCGTTATGTATACAATTTTCAGTCTTTTTTTTGCGACATCCTGTATTTTCTGCAAGCTTCTGGACAGTGACGTTCCAAGTAGCGCCTCTGAGAAAAAGCTTTCAAGCAGATTTCACACTTCCACTGCCACTGATGATGGTTCCTCGTTCTCTGATGAGCTCTCAAGTTTGATCTGAAAATCATATTGATGTCAATCAACAAATATCAAGTATAATTTAATTTGCAGGATAGCTGACCTGTCGGCAAAGGACTTTTTACAAACTGGACACTCAAAGGGCCTTTCCCCGGTATGAAGACGCAAATGTCCTTTCAGCACCCAGGGTCTGTCAAAGCTCTTGTGACAGTATGGACAAAAGTGCAATGTCTTGTTGCGCTTCTGATTAGGTGTCCCTTCGAGCTGCGAACAACTCCTACCCTCTTCGTGGGATCTTGCAGTCTCATTGCGATCAACATTTGGTGATGAGTAGATGATGGACACAACATTGGGCACTTGCATATTCGAGGAGAAAACAGTCAGGTCGGCATCGTCTTCCTGGATCTTTGGGGAAGTATCTGGATGTTTTTCTCTCAGCTGGAGTAGTCTGGGAACATCAGAGTGGTCGATGCAAGATATGTCATAATACTGGGCAATCTTGTCTTCGCTACTGTCACTTGTAAGATTGTCGGAGCAGCTACTGTTGCTGTTAACCAAGCAATCCAAACTGTTGATTGGATTCGGCCTCCACATGAGGCTCTCATTTTTTTGGAAATTGTAACGCGTGATGATGGGCAGGTGGGACCAGGACCAGATGTTGTCCGGCGTACCGTTGTTCTCTTTGTGCTTTCTTCTCTTCTTCTTTGGCTCTTTGACAGCTTGCAACTGATGGACTGGCGATTTCGAGACTGCAATTCAGAAATGGTTTGTAATTAAGAAAAGGTCCTCGAGTGCAACCATTATATTTCAGGAATCGGTATGGTACGGTGCGCAATCTTTTAAATCAGCCATGACTTCCTATTCTCGTTAAGCCCTATATAATTTAACGACAAAAGAACACTCGATTAGCGCAGAAAAGAGGCTTACCATTGCCGAGTTTGCCAGCTCGTCCGTAGCGCATCATACACTTGATCAAGCAACGAGGCATCCCTGCAGCGAAGCCGTCCTACCCCTCGTGCTCACGGCAAATCAATTATCGCAACAATCGGTTCAACGACAATAATTCAATAACCGCAAAATATAAACTACCTGCACCGGCTCATTCACCCAATATTTTTCTACTTGCAACTATATACTTTATTATCAGTGAAACCAATATACACAGTCTCTCGTTGCAAAACTTGCAAGTTCGCAGTGGCTCTCACAGCTTTACCAGCTGTCTTTTGTTTTTTTCTTGTTTTTTTTTTTTTTTTTTTCTACACGAGCAGTCAGTCAAATGGACGCGTCGAGAGAGCTATATATACATGTATATTGAGGAGGTGTCCGGCCGGCACTTGAATACTCATGTCTTACCTACGCTTAATTTTTTTTTTTTTTTTTTAACCATTTGATGTACAGGTATAGGTATGATTAATTCATATGCATGAATACAAATGACTCGGAGCAGTTTCGGAGAGCAGGCATATTTTTTTTGTGATACAAGTTTTTATCGCGAAGAAAATAACTATACGGTGAAGTTGGAAAAACAATAATCTTTACCCTCGTTTCAGGACGATAATATATTTACTATAATTTTACAACGAAAATTGCTGTACTTGGAAGTCTCAGTAAATAGTCCAAAACGCAGTATATTAAGGACTGTGGGAGACTTGAAAGTCTCAGGTGACCTTAAAATTTTTCTTTGCAGATTTTGACAATTTCACGTGACTTTGCACGACATGATATATATATGTGACAGGCTTTTCGAGACTTTTGCAGTCTTTTTCAATGTACAGCCCCTCGTAGTGCCCCCAAGATCATCAGACAATTGCACCGTAAATGTTGCCTGTTCTCCATGTGTGTGTGTGTGTGTTTACATTCATACAGAGTAAGTACAAAGGAACAAAAAAAATTTTGTACAATTTTTCCACATGATGCTAAATACAGCGATTGGTAGTTTTAGTCCGGTTTTTCGTTCAAAAAAAAAAAATAAATAAATAAATACGTTGACAGTTAAAATTTGAAACATCCTTAGAATGGTGTGTATAAATATATGTATACACCGATCAGATATGGAAAAATCACATAATCTTAGAGTGGCTCAAGGAAAGTCAAAATCGTTATCTCTCCGTTAAATCCGACACGGTTTCCGTGCAACAACTCCGATAAATGAAATTTCGGTAAACAGATCGTAGCCGAAGAGGTCCTCATATCTTTTTTTTTTTTTTCTTCTTCTTCTTCTATTTCCTGTCCCAGGGGTTGTTGTTGTTGTTATTGCTCTTCGATCGTAATCGGTAGGTATATAATGCACATCCGCGTGCGCTTGACTATTGATACATCATTTCGGGTAAAGTCATCGATGCGCGTGCATACAAGTACCTTTTGCGTCTCTTACACTCGACACAGGCTAACCAAGATCTTTCCCAATTTTTCAAAGTCGTCAGTAGATGGAAAAGGGCAAAAAAAAATATATATACATTTTCTTTCCCACCACTCGGGTACTCACCGAGCAAATCAATCAAGAGATTGTACTTCCACAAGTGCACTGTCTCTGTTCGTTAACTCTGAAGGGGTCTTTTTGTTTATTGCCATCACTTCTCCTCAGTATTCAGGTACGTACGAATATTTTCATTTCCTACCACGTGACATAATATATTCCATTGAATGTGCAGTTTTTGCGAAAACATCAGTAAATTATTATATTACTCGAGTTGCGCAGAGCATCGTCGTCCACTCCATGATAATAACTTTATTTTTTCATATACCGATTAATGTAGGAAACACGCGTTTATGAAAGTATTTCTCTACTATGTATTAACAGAAATTACTTTGTGTGCATAAATGTTCTAATGATATAAATACCGTCAAAGTGTTGCAATGTATACGGATATACACCGATGAGCGTAAGAATATATATTGTATACGTTCAACGAGAGCCGGAAAATTTCGCGTCCCTTTAACGATCTCGAGCGATAATCACGTATGTCGCTTTGGTTCCTCTCGAAAGCTCGCGACACTTGATAACGCTAGTATAGAAATAATAATAGTGATAATGATAACGAATAATCACCAAAAAATATGGGTACACATGGATGTAGGGGCTCTTTATCATTTTTCGCTCTTCCTGCATCGTCGCGCGTCGAGGGGGGTACGTAAGTATAGGCCCAACAATAAAAATGTACGCAATGTAGAAGAGTAGACATCGAAACTCGAGAGAAAAGAGAGACGATGCACGGATAGATGCGGAGAAAAATAAAAAAAACGTAAGAAGGGGTAGGGGGGGGGGCCCCGCGCGTAAACGTTAAAAGAGCGCCCGGCGAGCTTTAAATTGTATAAGTGCACGTATTTATCTCTACCCGTGTGTTGTGTTGTTCACCACCAATCTAGCGTCGTCGCAAAGCCAAAGCGATACACACATATACATGTATACGTATATACGATCCAGAGAAAAAGGGGCGCACATTACAATGTAATATACGAACGCGTTGTTGTAGTCGCATCAACAGCAGAGCCGCGAGAGGAGTCGGGTGCCGGAGCCTTCGTCCCGTCTTTTTCTTAATTGCTTTTTTTTCATTATTTTATCGTCATTGTTATTATTTTGTTTTTGTTTTTGCTTCACCGTCACGCGCGTTTGTAACGACCAAAAGTTTCAAAGTTACACACACGCTGGTATACCGTTCCGCAAAGTGTCGTGCTTTGGTTTTTGAATAATTATGTGATGAAACAAAGTTGGTGTGAGTTGATCCACTGTTTTATTTTACTTTTATTTTTTTTTTTTTTTTGTCATCGCGTGAAAAAAAAAAAAACAAAAAAAAAGGTGCATAAATCGGTCGTTGGACATCGATGCGCCGGCAAAGCCAATTCATCGAATTAGACGGGGACGTCCGGTTTTCGGCGCATATACGGCAGCCGAAACTCCCCTCCCCTTTCCGAAGCCATAACTTTATAATGTACAAATCACCGCAGTGCTCGTTTCTCCCAATAAACCCACGTACGTGTACTCACACACACGAGCACTCAATTAACGCTTACCAACCGATAAATACGATGCGCGTTGTGATAACTGCATGATTTGTCCCAACTTGCGTCAATTAGCTGCCGATCAAAAGAGTGAATAAGTAATCGAGTCGAGAAAAAAGAAAGTGTCCTCCTCCCGCGAGCGCGACGTGCTTGCACCTCGGAAGGGACAAATAATATATATATATATACACCTATACTGCATTGCATGATTGTACGAGACTACAAGGAGTCATTCGCCTCCCGCACGGACATCGGTAGCTCCGCTTCCTTTTACAATGTGTATATTACTTATATCCCCATCGCCATCGTGTCTACGCTATATCTCGCCGCAGGAAGCCAACACTCGTGATATACACGTACCCTATATATGTATACTTAATACTCGTACACAACTGCACCCGCCGTCATCGGCCAAATGTTGAACATTGACACGGACGAATATTCAAACCAAAAGTGTACGTTGGATTTTTAAATTTATTTATTATTTTCTCGTTTGTCCATTGCAGAACATGCAGAGGCAGCTTTTGGCGCTTTTCTCGCTCGGGATCGCTTGCGTCTGCATCGGAGTGGCACGTGGTAAGCTATACAAAATACGCAACAAAACAAGGAAAAATAATGAGCTTTGGTTTCCTTTTTTTTTTTTTTTTTTTTTTTTTTTTTTTCTTTTTTTTCGATTTCGCGTGATTGTTCCAGCAGGCAGCGTCCCGTGCATCGAGCCGCACTTCAAGTGCAAGAACGACAGGTGCATATCGAAATCGTTCGTCTGCGACGGGGAAGACGATTGCGGCGACAAATCGGACGAGCTTCACTGCAAGCCCAGACCCAAGCCGGTACGCACATCATCAGTATCATCTTCCCCCTTTTTTTTAGAATATACTTTTTATTTTTTTTTTTATTTTTTTTTTTTTTACATCAAAATAAGGGTCGATGTTATTTTAATTGAAAGAAAACCAAACAACGTGTTTGCAGAAATTCGTGGAAAAGTGCAAATCAAGCGAGTGGCAGTGCGGAGATAAGGCCCATTGCATCGATCTCGATGATTTTTGCGACGGCAAAAAGGACTGCCTCGACGCGAGCGACGAGTACGACGGCTGCTACGTCAACGTGAGTACTAGTATACTCTCTCGTGCTATTTCTCCCACATTTTATCATCATCATGCAGAAGCGATGAAATTATGTATATTTTTCCTCAGAAAACCTGCAAAGAGTTCAAATGCAGCAGCGGCCAGTGTATCAGCCGAAAGTGGTAAGATTAAGCCATCACGGAACTCTAGCTTATATTATATCAATTAAAATAACGTATTGATTTCTCATTCCTGTATATGCGTATACGTATGTGTATAAAGGATCTGCGACGGTATGAAGGATTGCGCGGACGGCAGCGACGAGCTCGATTGCGGTAAGTGATGTGTTTTGCGCACTATATAGGTATACATATGCGTATGAAAAAGAAAGAAATAAACCGGCCGAGAGTGTAATTTTATGACAGATAGTTTACCGATTCTACCGGAGAATTGCAACAACACGATCGGCAAGTACCTGTGCGACAACAAGCGCTGCATATCGTTGGCCAGCGTTTGCGACGGTGTAAACAACTGCGGCGACAACTCGGACGAAGGTCCGGCCCAGTGCGCGAGAGGTGAGAACTCGGAAGTACCTAATATATACTTTACCTATTTTATACGTTATATTTACGTATATATCGACGTACTTAACATTTCCATGCGTTTCGCAGCTAAAGCTTACTGCTCCCACCCGACCGTGGGGTTTTGCTCGCACGTTTGCTCGCCCACGCCCAGGGGCTCGCAGTGCTCCTGCCGCCCGGGTTTCGTCCTTAACAAGAAAAACGTTTGCGAGGGTGAGTCAATTACTTTTCTATCTCTTTCCGTTATCCCACCCGACATCGTCCGCATTTTACTCGCGATTTTCTCGTGCACCAGTTGTTGCAACAACGTATACATTATATGCCCGCTCTCGCTGTTTGGGAAGGGAGGAAAAAAAAATTAAAAACCCGACGTCATCGTCTCTCGCTGCTCCGGAGCGCGTACATCATAATCTTTGAAAAAAGGCCGGGGCAGATAAGAAGAAGAAGAAGAGAGCGTTGCAACGAAACGCGCGTTCCGCGGCAGTCGCGCGACCGTACCTCCGCGTGAAGTTTATAAACCCTCGCGCATTTTATATTATTGGCGCAAAACAACTTCCTCGTACCATGAACGGCAATGGCTTCGTCCTTTTTCTCGCGGTCCTTCGGCTCCTCCGCGTCCAGGCGATGCTCCGCCACTCCAATTTCAGCGAAGGTACATACTGTTGATCATCTAACGATTGCATGTGTTGTGCTTTATTTTATTTTTTTTTGGGGGCTACAAACGATATACCTGTTGCGTACGCACGCAACGCCGGCAGACGTGAACGAGTGTTTGGAGTTTGGCGTTTGCGACCAGGTCTGCCGCAATAACAACGGCTCGTACGAGTGCCAGTGCGACGCGGGTTACACCAGGCTCGAGGACAACAAGACCTGCAAGGCTGAGAGTAACTGATGGATTTTACCTTTTTTTTTCTTTTTTTTTTTTTTTTCTTTAGTAAAGGGTAAGGTTTACTGCGGAGGGGGGCGGGGAACGATTGTGCTTTTTCTTGCATGGACATACGCGTCAAAGTGCAAAAAGTTGGTGGAAACACACAAACAACATTGTATCAAGAGCCAGATAATAATTAGTGCACACGTATACAACGTGCCGTGCGGTGTACGAAAAAAAAAGTTCTTGAAAAATACCCACTTATCGCGTTATTTACCAACAAACGGCTTGAGCGGCGCATGCAACGTACAATGCTTATTCGGCCTCTCGCTAAAAATATAATGCACTTGGCGCGTTACGCGCGAAGTTGGTGTATATGCATATATAAAATAGCATGACTATCGGTATATATACGATTGCGCTGGACTGACACACATTTTACTCGAGTGGTTGCATCGATCAAACGTCGGAAGCTGAATCATAGTACCACGCCACGTACGAGGATTGGTAAATGAGCTTTTTTTTTTTTTTTTTTTTTTTCACCAAATATTGCGCCTAGTTTTCACAGATATATTCATATCGTTACGAAATCCATTATATATGATGTTTCTCATTGGTTTCGTAAATGTACACAATACTTACATTACGAAAACAAGGTCGATTCAATGGATTTTGCTCTTTCGACTTCCTAGCGCGAGATAAGCCGAAGGCGCACGCTACATTTTCCGATACGTCTACAACGCACTACGAACCGTTACATAAACAACGTACACACCGAGCGCACGCAATATACGCATGAATGAACGGAGTACATTATTATCGTTATTTGTGATTATCCCTCAAAAAAAAAAGGTCCGTAAATATATAAATACGTCCGAGATGATGATAAAAAAAACCAACGTATGTACAGCCGGGGAGGCGCTCATGGTCTTCGCGTCAAAGACGTCGATACGGGCGTTTTACCTCGACTCGGAGATCTACTTCTCGATAGCCGAGGACCTTCAGCACGTGGTCGGTGTCTCGCTGGACTCGCACTTTGTCTACTGGTCGGACATCCAATTGGGCGACGAGGCCATTTTTCGCAGCCTCGAGGACGGCTCGAAGCGGGAGGTCCTCGTCACCGCCGGTACACACAAACCGCTGTTTTTGACAAAAACAATCCACATTGAAATTCGAATGAATTCATTGGCCGTGTAACTGTCACCGTTTAGGTCTCGGTTGCCCGGAGGACATAGCCGTCGACTGGATAACGGGCAACATTTACTTCACCGACAGCATGTACAAGCACATTGGGGTCTGCAGCAACGACGGCACCTATTGCACGGTCATCATAACCGAGGCGACGGAAAAACCACGTGGCATAGCGCTCATGCCGTCCAACGGGTAAAAATCCGCGCGTTGACGATTCATCCAAGTGACGATCGGGTATATCGATTGTGCATATGCAATGTGATTGCAGGTCGTTGTTTTGGAGCGATTGGGGCGACAAGCCGCACATCTCGGTCGGGCACATGGACGGCTCGAGCCGCGAGTTTCTGATAACCGAGAAGATCGGCTGGCCGAACGGCTTGACCATCGACTACCCGGGCAAGCGGCTCTACTGGGTCGACGCCAAGCTCAAAGTCATCGAATCGGTCTCCCTCGACGGCCACGATCGGAGAGTAAGTATATACCTATACAATACACTCACTTGGTGATGTGCGCCCAACGTGTTTATGTGTGTTTCAGACGGTCCTGCAGGACATGGCCAAGCATCCTTACTCGATCGCCATTTTCGAGAACCGATTGTACTGGACCGACTGGAGCACCAACAGCATTCACTCGTGCAACAAGTTCACCGGCAAGGACTTTAACACGCTCTTCCAGAAGAACGAGACCCTCTACGGCATCCACATCTACCACTCGACCTTGAAAGCCAAGGTGCTACAACCCCCCCCCCGTATTGTGTTATTTATCGAAAAAAAAAAATCAACTCATACCCTTGTCTCGTTGTCCTCGTAGTTGGAGAATCCTTGCGCCAACAGCTCTTGCTCCCAGCTGTGTCTCCTGGGCTCCGGGGGAAAAAACCACACCTGCGCCTGCACCTTGGACAAGGAGCTCAACGAAGACAAGCGCACGTGCAAAGGTACGCTCGTGCCCAATTTGGATACTTGTATGGAGAAAGGCGGGTTAAAATATAATCCAAACTTTCGTCACATTTGTAGACTCGGCGAAGCGGAGGCACATCAGAATAGCAGCGGGCAGTACGATGATCGACTATTATCACGAGCTGCTCGGCCGGCCGAGGATGCACGCCAGCGTCACGTCGGATCCCATCGGTGCCATGACCTACGACTCGCTTACCGGTTTCTCTTTTTATTCATCTTTTTGTTTTATTTGCCCCAAAAAACAACAAACAACAATGATACATCCTTGTGGCGATTTCAGACTCGATAATCGCGATAAACGAGATCAACCAGTCGATATTTCGGTACAACCCGCACTCGGGGACAGTAAGTCACATAGAGCTCTCGGTAAACGGTATAATAGGCAGCATCGCGTTCGACCACTTGGGCAACAATATATACCTGAGCAACACCTTCCACAAGAAGATCGAGGTCTACAGTTTGACCACCGGCCAGAGGACCGAGTTCTCTTACACCCAAAAGCCATACTCTCTCACTCTCATTCCAGAGGATGGGTCAGTTCATTTGTTTGTTTATAAATAATATATGGTTGGTTGGACGTACAAGTGCCGATTGTCCATCTTCATGTTCCAGCATAATGTTCGTCGTGTTCAAGGCTAACGACGAGTACCACATAGACAGGGTGCAGATGAACGGGCTGGGCTCGAGGAGCCACATGGTCGAGAACGGCCTCGTTGGCCCGACGATCTCGCTGACCTACGACGCGGACACGAAGCGCGTCTACTGGGCGGACGAGGGCGCCGGCCGCATCGAGAGCATCGATACCAAAGGTTGGCGTGTCTTCCTGTATTACCCGAATGTCCTTATAATGATTTATTATTTTACATCCCACTCTTTTTCCCGTGTGTCGTGTCGTCCAGGGCAATTCAGGCAGCTGTTCCGTACGGGGCTCACGTCACCCATGAGCATCGCGGTGCTCGACAGCGAAGTATTTTGGACCTCGCGGAAGGTCCACCGGCTCAGTTGGGCCAACAAGAAGATGATCGTGCCCGGTAACAAGGGCATGCTCCTGCGTGAGTTTCCCAAATACTTGTAGAATCCGTGACTTGTTGCAATTTTTTTTTTTTTTTTTTTTTTTTTGTAACTGTATGCGTGTTGCAGAGGTCGCGGACGACCTGGACGTTTTGCACTTGCAGACGATCGATGGGTTGAACAGCGAGCAGTCGCACCCCTGCCACAAGAACAACGGGGGCTGCTCCCACATATGCCTCGTCACCAATTCGACCTCAAGGGTATGGTATTTTTTTTTTTTTCCTCGCACATTGTCCTTGGCGCATATATATTTATGATCTTGCGAATGTTGACAGTTGTGCGCCTGTCCGGCCGGCATGCTGATAAACTCAGACATGAACACGTGCAAGGAGAAAACGACGTGCGCGGAGAACGAGTTCAGGTGCGAGCGCAGCAAAGTTTGCATCCCGAAAAACGAGAGGTAAAAAATAACCGTATATATATATGTATGATTGGACGGGGCGAACGATATGTGTATGAATGTGTATATGCGCGACAGGTGTAACGGGATGAGCGATTGCCCGTACGACGAGGACGAGCAGGATTGCAAAACGAGCGTCGAGTCGGCGTGCCGGAGCGACGAGTTTGCCTGTTTGAGCGGCGAGTGCATCAAGACGACCAGCCGATGCGACTCGGTCTACGATTGCGCCGATCACTCCGACGAGAACAACTGCGAGAACCACACCTGCACCACCGGTGAGTATGCATACATTATACATTACGCGCTTTCTTCTTCATGCTAAATACCGTTGTCCTTGTTGATGATTGTTAATGGAATGTTTTTACGTTAGACGAGCACCGATGCCACAACGGCGCCTGCATCTCCAAGGTAATCCAAAGGACAGTTTTTTTTTTTTTTTTTGTTTTTTAATAATTAATTTCGTATGATTTAAATTTAAAATATCGTTAGTACCTTGTCTGCAACGGCATGCCCGATTGTACCGATTACTCGGACGAGGAGGATTGCGCCGGTCACGCCTGCGACGATCACTCGTTCAGGTGCAGCTCGGGCCTGTGCATACCGCGAAATTGGGAGTGCGACGGGCAATTCGACTGCACCGACGGCTCGGACGAGCACGAGAGTTGCAGGCCAACCGCGTGCGGTCTCTCGATGTTTAGCTGCAGGAACGGCAGGTGCATCGACGAGCTGCTCAGGTAACACCTCCCACGAGGATCTTTTAAATTTTACAAAGGGGGCGTACAAATTATCGCTCGTGAAATGAACGAAAAGTGAACGTATTCGGAAATTCGAACGAAGGAACAACAACCAAAAAATGTATCACCCGAATGACCAGCAACTTTGAAATTTCGATTAGGTGCAACAGCGTTGATGATTGCGATGACAATTCGGACGAGGAGGACTGCCCGGAGAGCAAAAAATACGACGCCCTCTTCTGTACGAAGGACGACCATTACAAGTGCAAGAACAGCTCGACCTGCATACCCGAGTTGTGGAGGTCAGTGTGAAACAGTTACGATGTATACATAAGTTTTTAGGATTATCCCTTGATTCGCTACCGATCTGTAGATTAACCCAAGTCTACTTTTTTTTTCTCATCATGTCGTTTATTTTCCGTTCTCTTGAAGCCTTACTTTTAAAATACGGATGTTTTAAATGAAAAATTATTTGGTACTTTCGTTATTATTTTTGAGCTCATTGTCATATTTTCGACTGCAGTGGGTAGTACATGGTGCCCTGCGATGGCTGTTTGTCGTCGAAACAGCACCCGATGCTTTTGGTCATTTATCGGCTATTAATTACATACAATACACCGTAACGCGTACTGCAGCAGATTCTCGATGTTTATATGGTCGCAACTACGAAACGATTTGATATACTAATCGCGTCGTCACCGTTGCCGATTGCGGTCAGATGTAAATGCTCCCCCACCCCTCTACTTTGCCGCACGTGCGTTTTTCACCAGCATTGTTGTACAATTTTCAAATGATTAATCATGAAATAAGGTGCAACGGGCGCGCCGATTGTCCCGAGCTTGACGACGAGATGGGCTGCGGCAGCTGCCTGCCAGAGACGCAGTTTAGCTGCACCAACGGCAAATGCATACCGATCGAGTGGGCCTGCGATCACATGGACGTGAGTACTGAGTTCAAACGACTCTTTTATTGTTTTTTTTTCCTTTCCTTCGGTCAACATCGTTACACTATTCATTTGTTGGATTAACGCGTGAAGTAATGCAGATCATGAATTTTTTTCAATAGTTGTCTATACATTTTTCACTACCATTGGACATGAAGCCAACAAATGTAGCCGGACGATTCTCATGTTTAACACAAAAGTTCCCTGTGTACATGATATACTACACACATTTCCATTTGACTGCTTCAAATTGATGATCCTAATTGATTGAATTTAATTGTCGATCGAAATAACTTTATGTGAATAATTGTTCGATTCGCAGGATTGTGGCGACAACTCGGACGAGTCCAGCTGCGCGAAGCCCGTGGCAACGGCAACGTCCACGTCGCGGCGCGACTGTCCGACCGGGCAATTCGCCTGCATCACCGGCTACTGTCTTGACCTCGACAAGATATGCGACGGGAAGCAGCACTGCGTCGACGGCAGCGACGAGGGCGACCAATGCGGTAGACGCTTCGTCCCTTTTCTTTACTTATTATTAAAAAAAGAAAAAAAAAACTTTTTTTTAATCTCATTGTGCAAGTGGTATACAAATAAATAAATATTCAGACAAGGCTTGCGAGACCAACACGTGCGACAACGTGTGCCACAAGACGCCCGTGGGTCCGGTCTGCAGTTGCCGGAGCGGCTACGAGCTCGAAGCCGATGGCAAGTCCTGCCGCGATATCGACGAGTGCCAGGCCAACGGATGTCCCCAGATCTGCAACAACCAGCCCGGCTCGTTCGCCTGCTCCTGCTTCGAGGGCTTCGCGCTCAAGCTCGACCGGGTCACCTGCAAGGCTACCGGTGTGTGTTTGTTCATTTTTTCTTCCCAAGGATTTTTCTCAAAATCGTTACGAATCGAATACATTGAATATATAGATGAATTGTTCTCATGCGCCTCTGTAGAACACTTTTTTTTTTTATGATTAACAATATGGTGTCATTTGTCGCGTGGTATTTATTATGTTATTCTTCGTTTTGTGCAACACAGGACCGCCCATGAAGATAATAACAGCGACGCAGGACGACATAAGAACGATATCGCCTTCGTTGGCGCAAAAGTCGGTGACTGTCGTGGCCCAGTTTCCCGGAACCGAGATCACCGGTCTGGACGTAAACTCGCGCGAGAACACAATTTACTGGAGCAACGGTGAGTCATATAATTTTAGGTTTTTTTGTTTTTCTTTCTCTTTATTCCCATCCTCGGTCAAGTATCTATATACATGGCGCGCGTGTATCATCAGAAAATCTGGGCACAATCAACAAGATACAGGTGGACACGAAGAAAATCACCTCGGCGACGGACGGCGTCGGCAGACCGGAGATGCTGGCCCTGGACTGGATCACCAACAACGTGTACTTCTTCGACAACCAGCGAGAGCCGCTGATAAAGGTACGTTTATTGTATCCACGACGTGGGTGTCATGCATATAATACATGTATGCATTATACACGGATGCGTTTTCAGGCGTGCAACGTGGACGCGAACAAAACCGCGATAATCGTGCGGATAAAAGGATCGAAAACACGCGTGACCGCGATCACGCTCGAGCCGATAAAAGAGTAAGAACCACACCGCATTACCTACATATACACCGCGATTGGTACCATTTTGTTGGAGCAAAAATAATTATAATTCGCAGAATCCTCTTTTGGGGCGAGGTGGAGTGGAAGGTGCTGTTCGACAAGCCCAAGGGTGAAATCAGGCGGAGCGACCTGATGGGCAACAACATCAAAGTCATAGTCAACGATACCCTGGGCATAGTCTCCGGTCTGACGATAGACCACCAGAGATCCCTGATCTACTGGGCGGACAACTACCTGGCCAGCGTCGAGTGCGTCGACTTTGACGGCAACAACCGCAAGGCCATTCTAGCCGATCTTGTGGTGAGCACCTATCCTTTCCATCGGTATACACATAAAAATCTATCCTCATCCTCGCGTGAGTAAAACACACGTGTGCGTCTGTCGCCCAGTCGAAGCCCATAGGTCTGAACTTCTTCGAGGATTCGCTCTACTGGCAAGCCGAAACGAGCGGTGTGCTCAGAAAGCACCAGCTTTACGGGAACACGGTCTACCACCTGCTCGTGGTGAGCAGCAGCAACTTGAGCCGGTTGTTCGCGTTGGCGCAGGTCTCGCGGCAGCCCCACACCGAGGACAGGTGCGCGACGCGGGGCTGCCAGCACCTCTGCGTTGTCTCAAAGGGCCAGCCAAGCTGCATCTGCAGCGATGGTTTTCCCGCGATGAACAACGGCACCGAGTGCCCCGGGGACGCGGGCATCGTCACCGACGACGAGCTCGCCCTCGAAGCCAAGACCAACGACGCGAGGTTCCGGCTGCTCGGCGGCACCGACAGGAACACCCTCCAGGCCAGCGTTGCTCGGGACGGGGTCTCCGAGGGCCGGTCCGGCCGGGGGACCGGGGCCTTTTTCGTCATCGCCCTCACGCTCGTGGGCCTCGCGATGCTCTACTCGGTCTACTTCTACGTGAGGAAGAAGAAGCCGGGCTTCTTCAAGAGCCGGGATCTCAGGTGGGTTGCGCGTTGGCTGGACTCCCTTGTTGGATGCTTTTTTTTTTTTTTTTTCCTTTGTTTGCAGTATACGGTTTCGGAATCCGGCCTTCCCGAGGAGGAGCGTTGGCAGCTCGCCGGCTACCGGGGGCACCTCGATCTTGATACCTGGGGAGCACGAGTACGCGAATCCGATGTCGAGCGCAAAGGTTCGTCGTCAATGTAATCCATATTTTTTCTTGTTTCGCGGTGTGGATGGGTTTTTTCAAACCGTGTTGATTGCGTTTTCAAGGTTAACAAGTCCAACGCGAAGAAACCACTGGAGCTGCTGGCAGACGTCTCGGACGGCGAGCCGGAGGATACCAATTCTCGTTTGATACGCTGAAGATGACGTGTATAATTTTCACGTGGAGCGAAACATTTGTCATTATCGAAGAATCGCATGAAATACGCTTTCGAAGTAATTTCGGTTTTTTTTCATGTTTATTTGTTTTTTCCTAGTTTTTATTGTTGATAAGAATCTTTGTCAACGGGAGCGTCGTCGAAGATTTATTTTATTCATCGGGTGTGTACATATATGTAAATTGTAAATAATTTTTTAACCCCAAACAAATGTTCTCGTATAATTGTTACATTTTGTATAAAAAAAGGTTCATAAGTATATGCTGGTAATTACACTCGTTTCGTGTGTCTACATGTTTGAAGTAACGTGTAGCGACGCTCCTAGAAAATTTGTAACTGTGTTTTCTCGTTGAATCTCACTGATAAAATATTCCCACACAACTATCAAGTACTTTTTATGCCTATGTTTTATACGTAATTTAAACATATTACCTATTGTGTGATACCATCAAATTTATATATTCTTAATTGTTAAGCTAAAGTTTTATCTATTACTTTAAATAAGTAAAACAGCGAGGAAAATGTTATTACAAACGTGTGATTACGATGTACAATGTTATTTGCTGTAAAGTGCAAGTATACCGAGAGAAACAAAACCTTAAATTAAAAATTACTGTTCTGCATAATAAGCTGATAGTAAAATATTAGTAAAGTAATTATTACTGATATAGTTATTTGTTCGAATCCATTTGTTTCTCGGCTTATGAAAAAGTTGTATCAGTTAAATGCCTTTACGAGATATTTTATATACGTAAAGTCGTTAAAGTCGCATGCTTGTTCTTTACTAAAAATATACGCGTTGTAAAAATGATTAAACAAAAAAAAAATGGTGAAAATAAAAAATGTTTCAAGAATCTTTATGTCGAGCCTGTCATTTTTCCCCATCTGTTGTTGTGGACTGTTCCAAAGTTTCGTGGGCCTACCGATGAAAAATAGAGAGGAGCTGTGAAGTATAAAACGCCAGACATCCACGGAATTGAACGCAGTTGAGTTTGGCGCGAGCACCGATGAGGATCGATTATTACTACCGATTGTCGTTACTATATATTAGTAATTCGATCCACTAGACTGTATAACACAAAAAAAGCCAGGAAGTTATTAGGGGTAAATGACCCAATTACTGCGCATGCACCAATTACTGCGCACCCGACGGTAACTGAAAATAAGAAAAACAGACTAAAAAATTTGGGTGCTTGGATATTGTAACACGTACGGGTATTAATAACGTTCAATCTAGAATCATACTTTACATCATGACATTTATAATTGTTTAACTGAGTGACTCTAAACGAATCTAACCTACAAAACTTTGTAGTCGTGCGTAGTGATTGGTGCGCAGCAATTGGGTCTAGGGCTTCAGCATGAAAACCTTATGGGAGATACCCGCGCAGTAATTGGGGGCGCAGCGACTGGTGCTAATTTTATAACCGTGCGCAGTAATACCAGCAAGTGATATCAGCACTAAAACAATTATTAAAAAAAAAAAAAANCCATACCTGTAACTTGTTTGTGATCTGTTATACACAGTGTGCCATTTTTTTCGTGAATAATGTGCGGAACAGCAAAATTACAAAGATAGCCAGGATTTTATGCAAGGAAAAAAATTATTCATTATTACCAAAACTTGTGATCACAAATAATAATGAAATTGTTTAAAGCCTCGAATTTCGGTTAGAGAGCCATGCCGGTGTCTTATTTCTGTTACTTTATGAATAATGTGCTAGTATTTTATTAAAATTGTACTGGATAGCAAATTTATAAAGATAGCGAGGAGTTTACGCGAGAAAAAAAAAATTTTTTTTTAAACTTTTCGTGCTCATTTAATGAACGCTAAATTTTAGAGCCGGAACGTTGGATACTAGATACATTGTATCATCTTGTAATTCTTTAAGAAAATTATGGACATTCAAAGATGCAATGACTAGTTGAAAATATAATTTTATTATTTTATATTTAAACTCATGGTAAAATTTTTGTGACCCACCTAAAGAAAATAAGAAGCTTAACATCGGAAGGAAGACGCGACCCTGATTTGTATACAGCGCAAGTGAAAAACGGTGAAGAAAAAAAACTTTCAAAAACAGCAAATACACCGAGTAGTTATGAAATTATGCAATAAATGTTGTTTTAATAATGGATATTATTTGGTTTAAATTAATTAATCATTGTCACACGGTAAAAACATTGCTAAAAATTTAAACGTAATACTGAATTTTTACATCATAGTATGAACACGTTTTCCACTCTAGTCGTAAATATTCGATTTAAAAAAAAAATACAAAAAATAAAATTTCTCTCAACAGTATATAGGTACCTACTGAGTTCGAGACGTAATACAGAAATGATTGAAAAGTGACAAAATTGCGTTATCGGCCTAACACTCAATAACTGTCCCCAAACCTCAAAATATTTTTTGAGCCACAACTTTCACGATTTCGCCCATGTATTTTTATTTCATTCCAGGCATCATAACTTGAAAGTCAAACAAAAATGGCACTTACAAGTTTAGCGTTACTCGCAATATTTTTGGTGGCGAGCCTCCTTGGGTGCTGCATTTACTGTTATCTCAGGAAATTTCGACTGTTTAAGGAATCTTGGAAAGTTCCGGGACCATTCCCGTGGCCTTGCATCGGAAGTGCTCATTATTTACTTTATAGGCAGCACAAAAGGTAGGATTAAATATTTGCACACGCTATTTTCGCTCTACCATCTCGTCTATAATATTTTCACTGATTTATTCACACGACTTGTTTTTTAGAGTCAAGTATTTTTTTTTTTTTTTTTTTTTTTTTATTTGACGAAATACACACAAAAATATGAAAAGATAAACGCATCATGTTGAAATCGCAAATTTTTCTTACAGATATTTTGGACAAGGCCCAGCAGCTACTGGAGACTTATCCGTCACCTTTCCGCGTTTGGTTTGGCAGCCGCTTGTTTTACGTGGTCTACGATCCCGAACAACTTAAGGTAAACTTTAAATTTCAAAATTTGTCAAAATTTTTTATTTTAAAATCAAAGACTGTACAGTACGACCGAGTTGAAAAAATTCGACTCACGTACGAGTTTAGTGCAATATAGATGAGCTCTATGGAACTTGATTAAACGGGCTTGAGAAAATTCGTGATCTGTGTATGAATAAAATGAATCGGAGAGTATCCATAGTTATAACTTTAAAACGTCAATCGAAAACAGCCATCGAAATTCCGATAACTCCTTTGCCATCCGAATTTTTATCATCTATTGTTTCAACTCCAGACTTATTTATGTTACAGTTGTGCATCAAGGAAAAAAAACAATTATTGGTAAATGTACGAGTAATATTAGATGAACAAACAAATGTATGTAATGACTTTACATATTATTTGTGAGATCAAATTGAGTACTGCACGATACTTATGAATTATTAAAAATAATCAAATTTTCTGTACGTAAAAAACTATAGAAAAAAAAAAAAAAAAAATGCAGTTTGTTATTTAAAAAGAAATTTCAAAATAGAAGATAAGTTTTTCATAAAACTTTTCAAAAAAAAAATTTGTAAAAAATACTTCACGCAACAATAAAAGATTTTAGGAAAATCTTTTTTTTTTTTTTTTTTAACCATGGGGATTTGGTCATTAATAAAAATTGTTAAACTTCAATGCCATTAAAAGGTAAAAGGAAAGCTTTCTTGGATCTACTGATGTCATTATCCAATAAATTCACTGACGAGGAGCTCCGCGATGAAGTCAATACAATGATTATGGCAGTAAGTTCCGTATGGATATACTTCAATAAATGCTTTAGGCAATTAATCATATTTAATTGTTTCAGGGTAACGACACCACAGCAACGGTCAACTGCTTCGCCATGCTCATGCTAGCCATGTACCCCGAAATTCAAGTGAGTATCCGAGTATAATATAGGTATATATATTGTTGGCTTCAATCAAAGCCTTCTCTACTTCGATGATTGTAATTCATCAGGATAAAGTTTACGAGGAGCTTCGCGGAATCTACGGATACGCGGATCCGAGTAGTGTCCCGGTGAGGCACGAGGACCTCCAGCGCATGGAGTACCTGGAGCGCGTGATCAAGGAGACCATGAGGATATTCCCGATTGGACCACTACTCGTCAGGCGCATCACCGATGACCTCAACATAGGCAAGCCCATACCCTACCAAATGGGAAAAACATATTTATTCATTATTTTTAATTGGTTCAAAATAGAGGAACACAAGCTGGCCAAGGGCCAAATTACCGTCCTTTTCACGATATCTACGTTATTTACGGAGATATGGCCACTCGAAGTTTTGAAATTTTTAAAAGCGTCTAATTTCGATTACAGAGCCGTACCTGTAACTTATTCGTGATCTGTTATACACAGTGTGCCATTTTTTTCGTGAATAATGTGCGGAACAGCAAAATTACAAAGATAGCCAGGATTTTATGCAAGGAAAAAAATTATTCATTATTACCAAAACTTGTGATCACAAATAATCGTCCTTTTCACGATATCTACGTTATCTACGGAGATATGGCCACTTGAAGTTTTGAAATTTTTAAAAGCGTCTAATTTCGATTACAGAGCCATACCTGTAACTTGTTTGTGATCTGTTATACACAGTGTGCCATTTTTTTCGTGAATAATGTGCGGAACAGCAAAATTACAAAGATAGCCAGGATTTTATGCAAGGAAAAAAATTATTCATTATTACCAAAACTTGTGATCACAAATAATAATGAAATTGTTTAAAGCCTCGAATTTCGGTTAGAGAGCCATGCCGGTGTCTTATTTCTGTTACTTTATGAATAATGTGCTAGTATTTTATTAAAATTGTACTGGATAGCAAATTTATAAAGATAGCGAGGAGTTTACGCGAGAAAAAAAAAATTTTTTTTTAAACTTTTCGTGCTCATTTAATGAACGCTAAATTTTAGAGCCGGAACGTTGGATACTAGATACATTGTATCATCTTGTAATTCTTTAAGAAAATTATGGACATTCAAAGATGCAATGACTAGTTGAAAATATAATTTTATTATTTTATATTTAAACTCATGGTAAAATTTTTGTGACCCACCTAAAGAAAATAAGAAGCTTAACATCGGAAGGAAGACGCGACCCTGATTTGTATACAGCGCAAGTGAAAAACGGTGAAGAAAAAAAACTTTCAAAAACAGCAAAAAAAAATTACTACCCTCCGTCTTCTTCTTTATACGACGCAACTATAAATCGTACTACGTGCCTGCAGTAATTGAGAGTCCACCGGCTGAGCGTTCGGAGGTCACAGCATGTCCAGTCATGAAACCGAAATTTTTAGTCAATAAATTTGTACAAAAAAATAATAAAATATCTTCTTTTCAAATTAACAACGTTTTCGATCGATTTTAAGTTTTTGAAATAATAATTAAATGAAAAAGTGTGAGTATTTTTATATTGAAATAAAATTTTTAAATCTTAATCACCACATCGTGAACCATACTCGAACCTATTTGAAAAATCCAGAATGGAGGTTAAATAAATTAATGTTGGCGATGCTGATTATACAATGAGAATGATTTTAAAAAAACTGACTAATCCTGCAGATATATTTAATCTCAATCTCCATTTGCAAACAAGCAATATGCCATCAATTTTCTTGTTGTTAAAACTTACCGCGAATTCACTTGTTTTTCTATTCACGAAGAATTTTTCACCAAATTTCAACGCGATTAGATTATCAATACCAACGATATACATATTTCGGTATATTTTAAGTCCTGACATAAATTTCGTGTCAGCTAAAATCAATTGTTTAATTGTTTTGCATAAGGCATTTGAAAATAACATCAACGCAAATATTACGCTCCTGATTGGCAAGTGGCTCTTAAGACCCTCAACTTCAATGCTGTACAAAAAAAAAAAAAAAAAAAGTTTCAAATTTCGTAAACTTACACACTTTTTTTTACTCAATTACTTTTTATCGTACTATCCCTATAATCAGATCTTTGAGTATTGGCCAGTTGAAAAGAAATGAGTTTTCTGTGATAGTCCAAACGGGCATTTTTAGATGTAGGTATAGTACACAAGGCTACGTGGGAGTCCCCCTGCACTCCCCCCACTGGAAGTAACGAATTTTTTCCTAAATATCTCTAGATTGGTAAGTTTCGATTCTTTACACTTACCGCTCGTCAGCTCACAAACTACAAATCAAACAAATAAGTGTATCGTTTTTTTTGTACGCCGATTCATTAATTTTCAAAACGTTTTTCTTTAGCCTACTCCGCGACGATTCCTCGATCGGGAAGTTGAAGCTTCAATTTATTATTCAGCCAAAGCCGCTGCTTTATCCTCACGTGCTGGCATTAACTCAACGGAGAGGTCTCGCGAGCTCGCCAACATTGGAAGAGCTACCACGTGGGATCCATGAAGCATATAAAACGCCACGCGTCGACGAAATCGGACGCAGTTGAGTTTCGGGCGAGTACCGGCAAGGACCGATCACTACTACCGATTCTCGCGTACGTATTGCATGGAATTATTTTGCGCAACGCGAGAAAGGCCACGAAAGTTTGAGTTAGGAATATCGCTCGAGGCGTTGGAAGATTTACTTCCCAATACAATGCGGGATAAAATTTTTTTTTTGAAATCCACACGCGCCCGATACCGGTGTTCAAATAACTTACCTTGGCTGAAAGTTGAATAAAAAATGTTGAACTACACACGAGCCCAACGATCGATCCCTTGCAGAGCACAATATTTGGACCCGCGGCTCACGTAAAATGACTCAGACTGTCCATCGGTGTATGTATTTTTACATGGATGCGATACACAAAGTTCTGACGTAAGTGATGTTATAAAAATATTGTGCTCCGAGAGCCTCGTAAGTTCAACGCTTCTTTTAAGCGGAGGTAAACTTGTACACAGTAGGAAAGTTACATATACAAGTGATTAGAACACCGGTACAGCGTGTAAACTTGGTGGACTGCGTATACAGATTCAAAAATTTTGCCCCGCCTATATATACACAAAAAATCAATCACGAGTATAATAACGTATGGTTTTTTGCCCGAACCAGTTGTGAAATGATTCTGGAAGAAAAGATCCGTTGTTCAACAAAATTCCATTGATCGATCCGTGCACTCGTCGTATTCGTTGAAGAAAACGCTACATAATTAAAAGACAAAAAATGGTGGTGTTCGCAAGTTTGGTGTTCGTTGGAAAATTTTTGGTCGCGAGCCTCCTTGGCTGCAGCATCTACTACTATCTCAGCAATTTTCGATTGTTCAGAGCATCTTGGAAAATTCCGGGACCATTCCCGTGGCCTTGCATCGGAAGTGCTCATCGATTCATCGGCAATACGGAAGGTATTATTTTGCAAAAAATGTGAATAAACGTGATAAAATAATATACTACGAGCCTTTCTGCACTGTACAGAAATGCCAAAAAACATTTTCTAAAATTTAAACGACATTTTAGTCGTGTCCACAAGTTTTTACGCTCACAAGTTGAAAGTGACAATTAATTTCGTACAATCGAGTGGTTGATTTTTGAGAACTTGGATCGGTCCGTTTCGTATTACTTGCGGAGTGGACCAGTACGTCGCTATAATGTTATTGCGATCCACGATTCAAACGTGGCTAGTGGCAGCATCAGCTTGAGCAAAAGGCTTTTATTTTTTTTTAAGTTTTGAAAAGAAAAAAAAAAAATGTATTTAATGTACATGGGTTTTCGAAAATAAAAACATTCAGAGTCGGGCCCGAATGTTTCCATATAGTTCGAGCTTCTCGTAACTTGAAAAAATGATAAAGGTAATATAAAAATTATAAATTATAAAATTCAGAAATTTCATTTTTCTTGTAAGAGCATTATGGTGATGCATATGTACTTATTTCGGGGAAGGATAATCGAATCGATAGTTAATGAGCTAAAATTACAGTTGGTAATACATGACGTATTTTTTTTCATTACAGATATTTTGAATACAGCTCGGCAGCTACTCAAGCCTTATCCGTCACCTTTTCGCGTTTGGTTTGGCAGCCGCTTGTTTTACGTGGTCTACGATCCCGAACAACTTAAGGTACACTTTTAACATTTTCCAAACTTTTCCATTCAAATACTATGTGACAGTAAAATTTAAAATTTTTCAACAATCCTCAACCTAAATGTTTATTGCCTGTTTTTTATACTTATGTGTATCAAGAAAACAAAAATTGACCATTGATTAATAGGTATATTAATTAATTACTGCAAATGAAAAGAATGAGTGTTATACTGTACGTTGACTGAAGCAAACTTTAATTATTAGACATGAAAGAATGAAAAATAATTTTAAAAAATTTCTAAAAAGATCGAATTACATACTTAAAATTTTTTTTTAAATTATTTAAATATTTAAAAAACAGACTCTTTAGATTGCAATAAGATCGTTTGATTGGCAATTGATCGAGGAATACCTCTTAAAGAAAAAAAAAAAGGGGGGGGGGTTCTTTGCACAAAAACAATGTATGAACCAACCCACGAACGATAACAATTGGGATGAATTTGAAAAACGCAGATAGTACTCTCGAGCCAAAAGACAATCGAAAAAGAAGTACTATACGAGTTATTTCAACCTTGGTTGGGAACTGGACTCTTCACCGCACCTGGTAAGTACTCGTATATTTATACATGTATATACTATACGCTTTATGCATGTGTAGTACAACTTGGTACATTACCTATGCATACATCTATATATATTGTTAGAGATGTGAATCACTAGATAACCGTTAGTGATAAAATAAAATGTATTGGGATCGATAAGCTATATTTTCCTCGATGCAGATAAATTTGCTTTAACGATACATCGGGTGGATATTATACGAATTGGGTTACAGAATTTTTCAAGAATAAATAAGTTCCATTCTTGGTAACCATCCGCTTAGCGCGATCCGGTAAGAGAAAAGAAATTCCGAATTTACTCTACATCGTTATCATGTTATGATTCAACGGGAAATTTTTAAATTAATGAAGACAGCAATAAACTTCCTCGTAGGGAATAAGCTCAACTACAGAATGACAAAATAAAAACGTGCACGTAAAATAAAGATTTTGTTATATATGTATGTATGTATGTATGTATGTATGTATGTATGTAGCTATAAACGGGTGTCAAAATTTTTCGTTCCATCAGCATCGAAATGGCGAGTCCACCGGAAACTGATAATGCCGACCTTCAATCAACGAATTTTGGAGTCGTTTGTTGAAGTTTTTTCGGCCCAGTCGGGAATTATGGTCAAGGAAATGGAGGCCGAACTCAACGGAGGCGAATTCGAGGTATTCAATTACGTGACGCTATGCACTCTCGACATCATCTGCGGTTTGTATTTGTAAAATTAAATTGTCTTTTTGTTTGAAAATTATTGAGAGTAAAGTGTGACAAAACATAATTCTACGATTCACCGCAGAGACTGCGATGGGCGTATCTTCGAAAGCACAGTTGCAGAAATCGTCACCCTATGTCAAATCGGCAAACAGGTATATGTGGTGGCATATGCACTTGTAAAAACTAGCGCGAGAAATTTTCAGTTAAATTTGGTTGAAATTATAAAAAATAAATTATTACAGACTTTTCGAGATAATCTACTCGAGGATCTTTAATATATGGCTCCATCCAGACTTTATTTTCAAGCGTACCAGACTCTGGCAAGAGCAACGCAACTGCATCAAACACGTCCACGGCCTGACCAATGACGTACGCACATGTTTTTCTAACTTATAATAATCAATGAATATTCTTAAAGCTATTGATTTTAATTTTCCAGGTGATTCGCAAAAAAAAGAACTCTCTATTTGTTGGAAATGGCAAAGCCAATGGCACCAGCCAAGAAGACAATGAAACTAGTAAGTTAAATCGTCAGTTTTATCCATATCATTTTAAAAGAGTTTTGTTAAACAAAATTCATAATTTATAGCACCACCCACAGTCACCAGAAAAGCCTTTTTGGATCTGCTGATGGAATTATCACACGAAGGCACTAAATTCACAGACGATGAGCTTCGAGAAGAAGTAGACACGATGATGATTGCAGTAAGTGGTAAAAGTTGTAAATAGTCAGACATAGTTGGCAGATCAAAACACAAGAAACGAAATGAGATTTTTTTTTAACTTGACCCGGTTATTATAGATAACCGTTTGTCTAAAAATGACACCTTCGACCATGAGAAGATAAAAAATTTAATTCAAGTATTTTTAATGATTCATAAACCATCTGCACACTTGAACCTATACATTTGGATACCTTAAATAATTGTTGTTTCAGGGTAACGACACCACAGCAACGGTCAACTGCTTCGCCATGCTCATGCTAGCCATGTACCCCGAAATTCAAGTGAGTATCCGAGTATAATATAGGTATATATATTTTTGGCTTCGATCAAAGCCTTCTCTACTTCGATGATTGTAATTCATTAGGATAAAGTTTACGAGGAGCTTCACGGAATCTACGGATACGCGGATCCGAGTAGTGTCCCGGTGAGGCACGAGGACCTCCAGCGCATGGAGTACCTGGAGCGCGTGATCAAGGAGACTATGAGGATATTCCCGATTGGACCACTACTCGTCAGGCGCATCACCGATGACCTCAACATAGGCAAGCCCATACCCTACCAAATGGGAAAAACATATTTATTCATTATTTTTAATTGGTTCAAAATAGGGGAACACACGCTGGCCAAGGGCAGCTCGGTCGTGCTGGGCATTATAAAGACGCACCGCAGCTCGGAGTACTGGAGGGACCCGATGAAGTTCGATCCCGACAGGTTTTTGCCGGAGGAGTGCGCCAAAAGACATCCTTACTGCTTCATACCCTTCAGCGCCGGCCCGAGAAATTGTCTTGGTAAGGCCTCGATAAAATCGGCCCATCAGTCCTACACCAATTATAAATAACTAAAAATTCGTAGGTGTGAAGTACGCGATGATGGCCGTGAAGGCGTTGCTGGCGACGGTGGTGCGAAAGTACGTGCTCAAAAAGGACGACGTTCTTGCAATTGAGGACATCAAACTAAAGGCTGACATGATGCTGAAGCCCGTAGTTCCCATAACTATTAGAATTGAGAAGAGAATTGAATGTGCAAGCTAGACGTTGTTATATCTGTATATTAAGTTTGTTGGTTTTTATTTTCTTTCAGTTGTGTGCGATGCCGACAAAAACTTTAATAAATATAGGTGTAAAATTTTTTGTGAATTTGACCGTTGCAAATAAAGATTTAAAAAAAAATAGTTTTCTTTTGAGTGTTTTGCTTTACAACAAGTATGCAAGTATGCTTTGTAAAGGAATATTCCAATTATTCATTTGCGTCAAAATCGTGTTTATTAAAATAAAAATGATAACAGTATGGTATAACTTAATGGAAAAAACGATATGTATCAAATTAATTGGATAAAGCGCTTGTTTAAAAAAGCTGAATAAAGAAATTAAGATGAAAATTCGAAGAAGTGATCACGAGATAAAGTTTACCAGTAAATTTTGAAATAGCACTTTCTTTTCCAAAGACGTTGATATAATATTTGAAACCAAAATAAAAAACTATTTCGCGCATGATCGAGACTTGATGGAAATCATTGCCATTTAGTTCACGTATTTACCTGTGACAGTGACTCATGTCATTGGTAAACATTTCGTGCACAAAAGAATTAAATCAGTCCTTGGTCTTATTTTCAAAGTTCACGAATTCAGCTGGCGTGAAAACTGACTTGTTAAACCTATTCCGTACTGATGTATGAGAATACAGCAATGACGTCAGTGTTCGCCAAAAATTAATTCACCTGATGGTCACTCACCGAATACGAAATCAAAGTGTGCGTTTAAAATCACGGCATCGACGCTGTTCCTTCGCAAAACGCGAAATTTCAAAGTAGAAACGTGGGTGGCATAACGAGCTTGAGATTCTCGAATGTTGATTTTCTCGGTTTAATCATGAGTTCAAAAAACTCTTGTTTTATTAACACTTAAAAATATACAACCCATTTCATTTTTTGCTTTAGTAGTTAATCAACACTGATGATAAATCAAGTTAAATAAAATAAACTTATATATGAAAATTTAAACAAATTTTTTATACCTCACATTTGTGATCTTTACTCGACGAGGTAGGGATTGTCGATTGCGCCAGCACCAAAGACTATACCACCTTCGTTGTAGGCGGATGGCTTTGTTCGCAAAACGTGTCCAACTTCGCCATTTAAATAAACAGCTGTTTCATCCCTAAAATTCAGCAGTAAAATAAATAAATAAATTTCACTATCGATTTTGCTTAAAAGTTGCTTACCCCATCAATACTCCATAGATTCCAAGTTCGGAAACAAAATCCTGCAACCTTACGTCAGTGTTGCCAGCACGAATCAGGTAATTTTTCTGAAGCGGAGGGTAAATTCTTTCCATAAGTATAAAGGCAGTGCGTTCTTTCGACCCTTTCATTGATTCCAGATGACTTTTAATTTCATCTCCATAAATATTGTAGCCACCACCTTCGCGTTGGGGTTTCAAGACGTATTTTTGTGGATTACTTATTGCCTCAGCAACTGCTTTGTCTCCATCTTCATCCTATTTTATGATAATCTTGTTGAAAAAAAATACAATAATGAATAGATTCATTTGAGTAAATAATAATTACCAAGTCTAAAGAATAAAGACCCATGAATATTTCTTTAATTTTATTTATCACAGCTTGATCTATCAAGAATCTTTCCAGGACTCCAGGTACGGATAATTGCTGTTGCACCTGAATAAAAATTTTTTATAAGTTACGCAAGTTAGCATAAATTTTTTTCATGAGTAGACAACTTTTTTCATACTTTTTTTGTTCCAGCTAAATGATAATGTATTGAAGGGCACTTGATAGCTGTAGAACGCTCAATCAATAGTCTCACATCCCATTCTTTGTCTGAAGGATAAGCCTCTAGCTGATAGCCAGTACGATAATAAGCTACTGCAACTTCAAAATCTTCACTGCAAAAAATAATGATTATGATCATAAAATCAACGAGTATGCCAAATGTAAATTTTACAGATAATTTACACGAGTAATTCTTTTTTTGATCCTAATCTAGCCTTAGTAGCCAGCTCTGATAAAGTCCTTCTGATAACTTTTATTTCTGGAGATTTTTCGTTTATTGAAAATTCTATTGCCCTTTGATCAAATAAATTGTAAACAACATCTTCAACAATAAATAATATAATAATCCTGAAAAATTAAGTGAAAACATGAACAAGTGATAAAATTATACTTTTCAAGTAATTCAAATGTAAATAATTATCACTTGTGTACAACTGTAGATACTGCAAATTTTTCTTTATAAGTTGACCAAGCTCGTCCAAGAGCATTACCGAATCCATTTGCAGGGTCATTTTGCGGAATCTGATTGAAACAAAAATATCAATTCTAATTTTCCAAATGTAATTTTTTTTTTTTTTTTATTGAAATTTCCAATGTTCTTACATTTGACAGTTTATTTTTGAACCCTAATTCTTCTAAAATGAACCTGTAATTAGTAAACAAATAGTATAATACACATTTGTTTGAGAATATTTAACGTAGTGTAACTGAAAGTAGAACAATTACTTTTGATAATTGGAATTGATCCCTGCTAAACCAGCAAAACTAGTTGAAATCATATTTATTTCTACCTGCTTAATTTCACCTCCTTCACTGCCATGTAGCATGTAATCCGATCTTATCAGTCCAAGACTTAGAGTCTAGAATAAACATATGTCAATCAACAGTAGGTATCCTAAAATGTTTGTTACGTTATTTGTATTACCTGAGCAAAACCTTCCAAATAAACAGTTTGATAAATTTCAAAGAGCTTTCTGGTAAAATCATCCACTTCAATGGTACTACAAAAAATTTAGCCTTGCATATAATTGTATTCAACATATTGGAAGCAAATAGGAAATTCATACTTTTTAAGAGTACTGCTCAGAAATTCATGATCATGTGCTACTTTGTGCATTAATTCATTCAGCATTGATTGAAGCTCTTTAGCTTTTTGAAATTCTCCTTTTGGATATGAACTGGGCAAGAGTAAAAATGGACATATTTGTGCTTGATCCAAACTGAAATTCTCCCTTGGTCTCATTATGCATCCTTAGGTACAAACAAACAAACAAACAAAATAAAGCAGGATATTCAGAATTTATTATATAAAACTCTTGATTAAATGTTACCATGAATGATGTTCCAATCTTTTGCCTTCAAAATTAAGTCATTTAATTCCAACTCTGATAAATGTGTCACACAGGACTGCATGATGAACAAATTAGAACCACTTTTTGATAAAACACACAAATAGTTCAATAAAAACAAGCACAATAATAAATTTCGAAAAACTTATTCAAAAAATTGTTGTGGAGAATGAGTTTTTTGTTGCTCAAGAGTAAGATAATTACACAATAAACAGGCTTATGTTTTCTCTTCGAAAAAAACACTCGTTGATGACAGCACTGTCTAGTACTCTTGTTAATCGCGATATTGACACTCCTGAGTTGTATCCACGCAGTTTTTAACATGCTTTGGGAGTAAAAAGCATGTCAGGTGGTATTTTGCTCTTGTATTCGTACTACTGTTGTACGACACATACGATATTGGCAGTCAACTTACGTAACTTGTTAATGGCAAAAAAGTGCAAGGTTTAAGTAAATAACCATGCTGAGTTATCTTAGACACAGTTTTTTAATTAAAAAAAAAAAACTAAAGTGATGGATAATTTAACCTCTAACTCTTGCAAATTTCACTGACAATTTATTTTTACAGATAGTTATGAGTAACGAGTTTTCTTTTTAATCAAACTTCACGATAAATTATTTTTTAACTAAATTCTGCAATATTACCTGATCGAAAAAAAATGTCCAAAAGAGTAATTTAATTTCAATCCATTTAAACCTGCCAATTTTTTCCCGCGCGTCTGAACATAGCTGTAAAATGGAGAGTGTGTGTGGTTGAAGACGCCATTTTTGGGGCCACATGTGTGGTACTGCTACTGTGGTAGAACGTAGAAGCGGTGCTGGCAGTGCTGCTGGCACGGTACTTATTGCTGGCGTGCTGGCGATTTGGCGAAAGAAACACAGATTAACACACCCGCATAGCATACACGCACTCTGCTACTCTGCTTGGCTTGCATTTTCCCACTTAGCCCCGAAAATGGCAGAGCCAATCAGTGACTTATATCCAGAGAGACGAGTCTGCTAGACGACCAAAGGAATAAGAGCTGATGCATGCGGATTGCAGGATCAACTCTTGAAAGCCACGATCGTATCGAACACATGCACACGAGGCTTAATCAATTTTCCGGTTTTTCCAAGAAGTTTTTAAGCAATATATAACCACCATCAAGCGGTTATTGTATGCAGGTAAGTTAAATTTACAGTTTCATTAAAATCACGCGTGCCTACGCTCAATAAATTGACAACCAACATTAAAAGTCGCTTTGTTTTTAGTTCTAATTACGGCTAACCTCTACTGTGTTCCCGGGTTCTTCCACGCACACAGACACATTCAAACGCTTCGCAAAGAGAGAGAGAGAGAGTAAGATATATATAGGTTTGATGGAAGGATCGGCCCTCCCCCGACGGCCCCGACTCGAGTGCAATTCGAGTAGTTCGACACCAAAGTTACTCGGATAAAGTTGTTAAGTCGTCACAATCGAAAGCATTCATTGTCAACGTGTTTACGGTCATAACGGAAACTTTCTTGCGTTAAGAACTAGTCTTTATTCAGTCTGCGGGTACAGTATATATTACCCGTCCCGGTCAGTGCAAGCAGAATCTGCTAGCGAGCCTCGAACTATCTAGTGCGAGTCAAACGAACGGGAGAGTAACACGAGATACAGGCTTATATTAAACTAAGAGTCGCGAGAAAGAAAAAAAGCCTGTGTCGGCAGAAGTAACGGGAGCTCGTACTTTTGAGGCGTAAGTGTCAGTGAACGACTTAACCACGGCGGGCAAGAAAAAGAGACGCGGCTCCCCGCGTGATCGTGATCGGGACGAAGACGAGGACTACCACCACCGCAGCAGCAGCAGTCGTAGGCGCAGCCGAAGCCGGAGCCGCGACCGCGAGTCCTCGTATCGCAACAGTCGCTCGAGCTCCAAGTCGAACAACCGGGATCGGGACCGACGCAGCACGAGCAGCAGCCGCAGCGGTTGCGGCGGTAGTAGCAAACAACAGTCCTCGTCCTCATCTTCAGCGGCAGCGACGGCTGCGTCTGCAGCCGCAGCAGCAGCAGCTGCCGCCGCCGCCGGCTTCAGCAGCATGTCCAGTGCACCCTTGGCTGCTATGCAACAGGACCAGAGCAATAGTAGTCTGGACCTAGGAGGTGGTAACAGCAATCCCGGTAGCACGACTGGCAGTATGAGCGATTACTCCATGGTCGGGCCACCCCAGACTTTCTCCCAGAGCTCAGCTTTTGCCGCTGCGGTGCAGCGTGCCAAGCAGGTATTTACATGAGTCACGGGTGTTAGTAAACCCCTTGCAGAGGTCCAGAGCTTTCACCTTTCCTTTGATGCCCTCTTTTTTTTTTTTTTTTATTCTCTTCCATCCGCAAATATATAGAGTTGAAATATTCATCCACATATGTGTATTTATAGTATCCTCAGAAACCAATTATTACAGAGGATACTTATACATCCCATTCTGAGCTACCTAGAGTCGATTCGGATCATTAATGTATCGAGGTGTGGTGTGCATGTGCAATATATTATGCATTGTATGAGTGCGAGTTTTACTAATACCTAAATACCTACTTGTCTACATGCGCGTCGATGCCGACGCGGCGAATTTAGAGCGCTGCGCGGCATGGCCGACCAAATCGGCGGAGTTCTTCCTTCTGCACGCGTCCCCCACTTATACTTCATTTATTCTGGATTCTGTTTATGACCAACTCGTGGTCTGACGTGACCTTTTTTAACTATCTCAAATAAGGGCATAAGGCTTTTGAAATTTCCTCATACCTCTTGAAATTATAATTCAAGTATTTAGTAAGAGAACTTATGATTCATGATTACTTCTAACGTGAATAACTTTCGATATTCATGTGTACACAGTAACATTGCTCTCTACTTTTTTTTTTTTTTTTTTTTCCTAACAAGCAGTGAATCAACAAAAGTTTATAGCAAGTCTTAGTATCCACTACCAATCTTTTGAGTTGGAAAGTTTGATCAGCTTATTTATTTGAAGAGAATAAAATGAATACAATAAAAAAAATTTGTACATCACATACCCTCGTTTTGATACATCTATGCTTAATCTGCTTTAATAAAAATTTTTTTTGAGTAAGCGTTGTTATCAACAAAAGAATTTTTCCGTATAGACTATGCCATTTTTACTCTACTTACAGATTGCCGCAAAAATAAATCCAGGAGGTACAAATAATTCCGATCCTACGAAAAAACGGTCTTTGGAAGATGGTTCAGGTAAAAATTGATCACAAATCTGATTATTTTGTTTTTTACAACTACTTATTAATCTTTTTTTTTTTTTTTTTTAATTTCATGAATATACGTTTCATGTACATAATAACTGAGTAAAAATACCCAATGTTTGGAATGCCCCTATTCTATTGAATTTTAGAACCTGAAGCAAAGAAACTTGCTATCCCTGATCCAATATTTAATCTTCATGGAGGAATGACATCTGGTCATGATAGCACACCCAAACCAACTGCTACTTCAGCACCTACAATTCCTACAATGGGTATGGGTATGTGCAATGAAGAAATCAAAGTTCCTGACAAAATGGTGGGCTTAAGTAAGTTTTGCATTTCAATACTATTTTTAATATTAAACTCCTTGATGTAATACATAATACATCAGTTGAAAAACTTGAGGAATAAAAAAACTTGTACTCGGTGTATTAATTTTTTTTACAAATCTTTTGCAGTAATTGGCAGAGGAGGTGAACAAATTACAAGATTACAAGCTGAAACGGGATGTAAAATTCAAATGGCTGCAGAAAGTGGGGGTCTGCCTGAGCGTATTTGCACGCTATCCGGCACCCGAGAAGCTGTCAAGTAACTCAATTTTTATCATTCTATATTTTTATTTTTATTTTTGTATCTGTTTTAAATACAATGCAGTACAATACCAATGTCTTGTTTAGGCTGAAAAATTGTATTCACAGTTGATACATTTTTAGTTTGCACTCTTAAAATTTTTATTAATATATTGTCAAATGCAATTTTAATTGTGCACAGCCTAAGAACAATCATTGAAACACTTAATTTTTGTTACATGTATTAAAATCATATCATCTCAAGGCATAAACGTATTTCATCTTTTTTTTTTATAAATGTATACATAATGGTCATTGGTTTTGTCATTAGATGATTCTAAAATTTATTGATCTAAAACATTCGTCTTCATATATTTAACATATCTATATATTTATTAATTTACAAATATGTTCAATATTGNCGACAACTGACATTACATGCACAAAATGATATAATTTTTAATGAGCCAATGAGAGATAATCAAGATTATAAATATATTGATTGAGATTTATATTGTTCAATAATTGTTATTGCATTATTTGAATTTCAATATTTCAGTTAATAATACAGACTACGGTTCGCTAAACGTGTTAAGAAGAATAGTGCTATTGATAAGCAATTAGAACGGAATGCTTTAAATTAAATAGTTACCTCTACGCCTTCTGGATTTCCTTCTGAATTAAAACCTCTGCTTCTGTTGAATATCTGCATTTCTTTTTCAGCAATTAGTTCATAGACTAATTGCTTAGCATGTTCCACCTTGGCCGGATCACCAGTAATTCTGTAAAAACCAAATGGTGGTAATCATTAAGTATATTAAATTATTAGATAAATGTGGCTGTAAGAACTTTGATAAACGTACCTCAAAGGTTTTTCTTGTTCTTGACCAGGACCTTCTTGAATTACAACCATTTTAGCTCCAGATTTCTCTTGGAGCTGCTTGATGGTTTCACCACCTTTACCGATTATTAGACCCACCTTGGGGCCGGGTATCATGATCTCTACCAAACCCGGATTACCAGAAGTCGTTGGAAGAGGTGAAGGTCCCGGGTAAGGAGGATTTGCTCCTGGTATTTGTTCATCAGGTCGTTTTTGGTGGACAACTGATAGGACAAGTTCTCGAGCTCGACTGTAACAAACGAAAAAACGAAATACTAAGTGATCGTTAGTGATAAACAGAAGTTAAATAAATAAAATTAATTAAATATACTTAAATTACTATAAAACACATGTACAAATGAAATAAAATCGAAACAAATGTATATGCTGAAGTGTATATATCAAGTGCGATATTCATTTTAAAAATCAGTATTATACGTATGTATAAATATGTATATCTCTTCAATCATTATTAAAAAATAAGTATATAGTATTATTTGAAACATGATCATGTTTCAAATAATACTATATACTTATTTTTTAATAATGATTGAAGAGATATACATATTTATACATACGTATAATACTGATTTTTAAAATGAATATCGCACTTGATATATACACTTCAGCATATACATTTGTTTCGATTTTATTTCATTTGTACATGTGTTTTATAGTAATTTAAGTATATTTAATTAATTTTATTTATTTAACTTCTGTTTATCACTAACGATCACTTAGTATTTCGTTTTTTCGTTTGTTACAGTCGAGCTCGAGAACTTGTCCTATCAGTTGTCCACCAAAAACGACCTGATGAACAAATACCAGGAGCAAATCCTCCTTACCCGGGACCTTCACCTCTTCCAACGACTTCTGGTAATCCGGGTTTGGTAGAGATCATGATACCCGGCCCCAAGGTGGGTCTAATAATCGGTAAAGGTGGTGAAACCATCAAGCAGCTCCAAGAGAAATCTGGAGCTAAAATGGTTGTAATTCAAGAAGGTCCTGGTCAAGAACAAGAAAAACCTTTGAGGTACGTTTATCAAAGTTCTTACAGCCACATTTATCTAATAATTTAATATACTTAATGATTACCACCATTTGGTTTTTACAGAATTACTGGTGATCCGGCCAAGGTGGAACATGCTAAGCAATTAGTCTATGAACTAATTGCTGAAAAAGAAATGCAGATATTCAACAGAAGCAGAGGTTTTAATTCAGAAGGAAATCCAGAAGGCGTAGAGGTAACTATTTAATTTAAAGCATTCCGTTCTAATTGCTTATCAATAGCACTATTCTTCTTAACACGTTTAGCGAACCGTAGTCTGTATTATTAACTGAAATATTGAAATTCAAATAATGCAATAACAATTATTGAACAATATAAATCTCAATCAATATATTTATAATCTTGATTATCTCTCATTGGCTCATTAAAAATTATATCATTTTGTGCATGTAATGTCAGTTGTCGCAATATTGGAGTATTTAGTGGATTTTCTTAAACTTTTTTTTACTTTTTAATCGAATAATGTAGTGTCGAGTGTAGAGTTTTAGATGTTACCTCAAATTTAACACACCAACTTTTAGTTGTTTTTATCTCAAAATGTTTGTATAAACAATTTTGTAAACGTTTTTACTTGACTCCGTTTTTAATTACACAATTCGAATATTTCAACATATTGGTATTGTTTAAAGCTTGTCAAGAAATTTTCTCGATTACCATTAAATACATCCAGTTTTTTCTTTTTCTTCTCAATCTTTTTGTCATTGGTGTCAAATCCAACGTTATTCCCTCCTACCGATGAGTCATAAAATAACGTATGAAATGCAATCAGTAGAGTGATGCAAATTAAAAAAAAAAAAGTTTTAGTTTTTTTTTTTTTTTTTTTTTTTTTTTTTTTTTTTTTTTTTTTTTTTTTTTTTTTTT